GCAATGGGCCCACCTGACACTGAGCCTGGACAGGATGGTCAGGGCCAGGTGGACCATCTGTCCAGGGCGGGAGTGGGCCAGAGGCTAGAACGGGAGAGGGGGGAGGGAAGTGGACGAACAGGGGTGGGCTGGGGGAGAACTTGGAGGCTCAGGGTGCCCACATCCTGGCTCCCTGGGGTGTGCTGCGCTGGCCAAAGCAGGTCTGCAGGAGGACGTCGCAGGCTGGGCTGTTTGGGAGGTGGACGCCGTCCTCCGGGGGACTCCCAACTAACCTGCGTCATCACGCCTGGCTGCTGGCCTCTGGAGTCCCCTGGCCAGTCAGTGGTCCCCAGGCCCCCTGGCCTGCACTCAGCCCCCTCTGACAACCCTTGTCCACTCAGCCTTCCCACCCCCAGTGCACCAGCAGGCAGCGGCGGGTCCCACCAGGGTCAGCGTGGACAGTGCGGCTGACCCCCGGGACAGCAAGAGTGAGTGGCAGGGGCTGGGGCACACGCAGCCCAGCAGGGCACCGAATCAGCAGGGAGCAGCCAGGACGGCCCTCCTGGCCCGGTCAGCCCTGAGTCACCGCCTGAGTCACGGCAGTGGGCGGGGCGGCCTCTTGAGCGGGAATGCGGGTGTGAGCCCTGATGGCCAAGCAGTGGGGTCGAGCTCCGGCCTGCTCCGCAGGTGGCCTTGCGGGCGACGGGTGGGGCCTCTGGGGATGTTACGGGGAAGACAGTAGCCTGGAAACATTCACAACCGCCACGTCTGTGGAAAAGCTTCCAGGGCACCACTGGCCTTTACGGCTAGGTTTCACTTTGGTTTGGGCGACGTACCTGGTGGTGCTCAGAGCTGACTCCTGGCTCTGTGCTCAGGGCTGACTCCCGGCTCTGTGCTCAGGGCTCACTCCCGGCTCTGTGCTCAGGGTCACTCCTGGTTCTGGTCTCAGGGCTGGCTCCTGGCTCTGTGCTCAGGGCTGACTCCTGGTTCTGTGCTCAGGGCTGACTCCTGGCTCTGTGCTCAGGGCTCACTCCCAGCTCTGTGCTCAGGGCTGACTCCTGGCTCTGTGCTCAGGGCTGACTCCTGGCTCTGTGCTAAGGGTCACTCCTGGTTCTGGTCTCGGGGCTGGCTCCTGGCTCTGTGCTCGGGGCTGACTCCTGGTTCTGTGCTCAGGGCTGACTCCCAGCTCTGTGCTCAGGGTCACTCCCGGCTCTGTGCTCAAGACTCCTGACTCTGTGCTCAGGGCTGACTCTCAGCTCTGTGCTCAGGGTCACCCCTGGCTCTGTGCTCAGGGCTCACTCCTGGCTCTGTGCTCAGGGTCACTCCTGGCGTTGTGCTCAGGTCACTCCCAGCTCTGTGCTCAGGGCTCACTCCTGGCTCTGTGCTCAGGGCTCACGTCTGGCTTTGTGCTCAGGGCTCACTCCTGGCTCTCTGCTCAGAACTGACTCTCGGCTCTGTGCTCAGGGCTCACTCCCAGCTCTGTGCTCAGGGTCACTCCTGGCTCTGTGCTCAGGGTCACTCCTGGCCAGGCTCAGGGGACTGGATGGGCTGCCGGGGATCGAACCCGGGTTGGCCACATGGACAGCAAGTGCCCTACCCCTATGCTCTCTCTCTAGTCCCAGACTTCACTGTGGATTAGAACTGCCCTTATGCCCTTCAGAGGGGACCCAGGCTGTGTCTGGCAGGGGCTTTGCTCATGAGCCTCAGCCTGTTTTCATCCTGGGGCACAGATAGCACGGCCTAGTCACGACCCTGCTCAGGTGGTTCCTGGGGCCTCACATGCCATTATGACCGCGCTGGGCCCAGGGCCCCCAGGATGATGGAGCCAGCTAGCAGGAAGCTGCAGTGACCGGCCGGACCAGGCACAAAGGCCGCATCTCGCCGAGACCAGACCAGCCGTTCTCTGAGACGCCGTGTTTCAGATGATTTTATTTCTCCCTGTGCTCACAGAGACTGTGCCAGCTCAGAGGTGCTCCTGACGGCCAGCCGCTAGGATGGGAGCCTCGAGAGAGAAGAGAATATTTGTCAAATCGCGTAAAATACTGGACGTGCGGGACACACAGCAGCAGGTCTTGGGAACTTCTGACAACCGCTCAGAGATCCTGCATCCACGTTGTAAAGCCAGGATGTACCAGCGTCTCCTGAGAGTGGACAGATGTGGGCGCTGCCCGCTATGGCAGAAAGGCCGAGAGCCCTGCTCCGCTCGCCTGCCTTCCCTGGACTGGGGGGCTGTGCAGAGGGGCTGCACACCCCAGCGCCACCCCTGCCTTTCTAGAAGGTTCTTCTGTGAGCACCAGCCAGTCCGGTGAGATGCGAGATGAGGCCTGGGCTTGGCAGACGTGTGTTACCTCGGCCCCTCGCAGCTCAGCTGCAGGTCACCGCTGGAAGGAAGGCGCGGACACCCCCAAGCTCCGGCAGCAGTGCCCAGGGAGCCACGATCCCATCCTGGCTCAGCATCTGGTGGAGGTGCAGCCGTCTGCCCCCGTCTTCCTCCCCAGCGGGCAGTGGAACTCTCCATCCCTCCCATCCTGGTCCCCTGGCCTTTGGCCTGAATATATGAAAGCAAACAATCACCCATTCCTCAAGTTCTTTGCTCTCGCTGATGTCAGGAGGAGAAGCCGCAGGTGGCGCAGAGTTGGGCAGTGACATGTGCTGTGTCCAGGCCACAGGGAGGAGACACCTGGCAGCGTCCAGAGGCTCACTCTCCGCATGAGGTCCTAGTGTTGGCACCATCAGCAGCCCAGCAGCATGCTGAATGGCTCAGGGCTCAGAACCAGCAGCTGGCGGGGGGGGTGCCCAGGGGTCCCCCAGGTGCTCCTCCTTGAGGAACCCCGGGACGGTGCCCCAGAGTCTGCAGGTACAGCCCAAGGTGAGTCTGGGAAGTCGGTGTGGCCTGGCGGGGGGGGAGGGGGGTGAAGGCCGGGCACTGAGTGGAGCCCAGAGAACAGCATGTACAGGGATGCCATCCCGAACCAAGCTCCACGTGGGGCCCGCTGGGGGCCCACCTGGAGCCCACCTGGAGTCCACCTAGGGCCCACCTGAAGTCTCATCTGGAGCTCACCTGGAGTCTCACCTGGGGCCCAGCTGGAGCCCACCTGGAGTTCACCTGGGCTCACCTGGAGTTCCCCCTGGGGCTCACCTGGAGTCTCACCTGGGGCCCACCTGAAGCCCACCTGTGCTCACCTGGAGCCCGCCTGGACCCAGGCAGTGTCAGCACTAGAGAAAAGCAGGATGGAGACCAGGGAGTCCCCCGCCGCCCACCTCTGCACTTCTCCAGGTCGGCTGCTCCAGGTGAGGCAAGGACGCAGGGGGCTGGCACCCAGGGCAGGAAGCCCCGCCCTCACGGATGTGGCCCAGGACTCAGGGACCACCCAGGAAGGACCCCAGACTCGCAGTCTCTCTGCTCTGCTGCTCACCCCGGTCTGCCTCCCACCAGCCCCTTATCTCTGTGAGCAGAGCCCAGAGGGTTCCGCGGTCAGGCAGAATGACACATGGTCAAAGCCACGCCCAGCCCGTCCCCCCAGGAGACAAGGGAGCGGCCACGGGGTCCCCAGTTCCGCTTCCCCTGCAGGAGATCGGGAAGTGCAGGATGCACAGGCCACGAGTGGGCCATAGCCCCTTCCACGCCTCTTCATGGCCCACCCACGGGAGCCTTCTCCCGGCCCACAGCCGTGCTGCCTCTTCACACCCCGGGGCCCACGCCGAGCCCCCATGTACCCCAAGATCCCACGCACGTTCCACGGCCAAGTCCTGAGGCTGGTTCAGGAACACCCCCACACGAGGGGCAGCGTGTACCCGGGCAGAAGCCATGTGGCTCTGCGAAGCCGGAGGCTGAACATGGGGACGCAGTGGACAGGGACGGTGTGGGGACACTGCGCTTCCTGCTGGGCAACCGGCAGCATTTTAAGGCAAACCACGAGGCCACATGAGAGGCCTTGCTCTGGCCCCAGGAGGGTGAGCTTCATCCCAAGACCCTCTGCTGGACTGAAGGTCAGAGGTTCCGCCAGCAAGCCCAGGGCTGCCTGCAGAGCTCTAAGTCCTCTCCTGGAAGCCAAACCAAGGACAGGAGCCCTGCTGCATCCCCGGGACCACAGGACATGCGGGCAAGCAGAGGACAGGCTCGAGGCTGGGGTCCCTGGGCCATTGATTTCCCACTGCCCCCAACTGGGACCCGGGCTGGTCCTCCTGTTCAGGGAAGACCTCACCCTGTCACGGCTGGAGCCCAGGAAGCAGTGGCTCCCTGGCCCTGGGAGGGGAGGTCAGGCCCTCCACAGCCCTGAGGGGCCCAGGCTGTGCTCTCTCCTCCCTGGCCCAAGGAGACCTTGGCCTGGTTCCAGGGCTCCAGGACTGGAGGACCCGGTCCATGGTCAGCTTAACCCGCTGCCAGGGATCACTGAGATCCCCACTCCAGAACTGGGCACTCCTGGGCTCCAGGCCCACACCACCCAGCTGCAGCTTCAGATATTTGCATCAAAAGTCTCCGGAGAAAGAGTGGGCAGCAGAGAAGGCACGGCTGGGTGGGACCTCAGGGCTTCTACCTCAGCAGACACCCCCCACCACAAAATCTTTTCCAGCAGAGAAGAGGGTAGGGCAAACTCCAATGCTTCTAGAAAAGGAAGCCAAAGAAACAAAACCATCCCAACAAAACGCCACTCACCACCCCCCACTGCCACATAAGGAGATCACATCGTGCAGAACAGAACCGCCGCAGAAACGCACCCACAGTGGGCCCAGTCCCCACCCCTCCGGAGCACGCAGGGAAGCTGGAGGTGGGGGACCCGCAGGCTGGCGTCGGAGGCAGGAACAGCTGAATTGGGAGGCAGAGGGGGTGCAGCGCCCTGACGCACAGCTGCCAGGTCTGTGTACTGAATTCGGAGCGAGTCGCCAAGACGGTATTGGCAACCACCCCGCAACAACAAAAGCCCAAACTTCACAGCGCACACACACAAAATAGCGCGCGCGCGCACACACACACACACACACACACACACACACACACACACACACACACACACACAGGCGAAGATCCTGAACTTGGCTTTTTTTTTTGTTTTGCTTTTCACAGCTGATAAAAAAAATACTAGCGTTCTCCCTCAGTCCCCCTTGGATACAGTAGGTAAACAAAATAGACTCCCCCCAGCTCTGGCGGACACCTGCTGGCCGGCCCCAGCGGGCGCCGGTGCCGAGTCCCGGCTCCGGTGCGCGATCCTCCGGACCGGACACACCGCGGCCAGAATCCAACCTTGCATAGACGGGCTGAGTTCCCAGCCGGCCCCGGCCCCCGGGGAGGGAGACGCGCTCCGCAAGCTTCCTCCTCCAAGCCGGCTGCTCCTTCCTCCGCTCCCCGCGTCCTGCCGCAGGTTTGAAAACTTGGAGCGCGGAGGCGCGGGGCGCAGCGGGGCACGTGCGCGCGGGGCCCGGGCGCTGGCGGCCGGCGGGGCGCGGGGCCGGGCGGCCTAAAGGATGGCGCAGGCCGAGCAGCAGCCCTCGTCGGCGCCCGGCTGCGCCGCGTAGTTCATCTGCCGCACGATCTCGGCGAAGAGCTCGTCCACCGACGCCTTGTTCTTGGCCGACGTCTCCAGGAAGGGGCAGCTCCAGTCCTCGGCCAGGGCCTTGCCCTCGCCGTAGGCCACCTCGCGCTCGCCCTCCAGGTCCACCTTGTTGCCCACCAGGATCATGGGCACGCGCTCGTAGCGCTTCACGCGCACGATCTGGTCGCGCATGGGCTTGATGTCCTGGAAGCTCTGCTGGTTGACCAGGCTGTAGACCAGGATGAAGCCCTGGCCGTTCTTGATGTACAGGTCGCGCATGGACGCGAACTGCTCGGTGCCCGCCGTGTCCAGGATCTCCAGCACGGACGGCGACGAGTCCACCTCGATCTCCTTGCGGTAGAAGTCCTCGATGGTGGGGTCGTACTTCTCGATGAACGAGCCGGTCACGAACTGCACGGTCAGCGCCGACTTGCCCACGCCGCCGGAGCCCAGCACCACCACTTTGTACTCGCGCATGGCTCCGGGCGGCGGCGGCTCGGGGCGCGCCGGGCACGGGTCCCCGCCGCGCGCGCGCCCCCCGCCCCGGCGAGCATGCCCAGTGCGCCGGGCCGCGGTTCCGGGGGGCCGGCCGGGGGCGGGGCCGGGGCGGCGCCGGCGTGGACGGGGCCGGCGGTGCGCGCGCTGCCCAGGTGCCGCCGGGCCGGGGGCGGGGGCGGGCGCGGGACCCCCGGCGCGGGCCCCGTGGGCGCGCGGGGGGACGTCGCGGGGCCTGGGAGGCCGCCCGCGCCGGGGCCGGATCCGGGGCGCGGCCCGAAGCGGGGAACGCGCGCCGCAGCGGCCGGGCATGCCCAGTGCGCGCGGGGCCGGGGCGCGGGGCGCGCGTGGGGCTTCGGGCCGGGACGCGGGGGTCCCGGGGGCCTCCGGGCCGGGACGCGGGGGGCGCTGAGGGCTCCGGCCTGGGCCGCGGGGGGCGCTGGGGGCTCCGGCCTGGGCCGCGGGGGGCTCCGAGCCGGGCCGCGGGGCTCTCCGGGCCGGGACGCGTGGGTCGCGGGGAGCTCCCGGTCGGGCTGCGGGGGGCTCCGGGCCGGAACACGGGGGCCGCGGGGGACTCTGGGACTGGGCGCGGGGTCGGGCTGAGGGGACCGCGGAGGGCTTCACGCCAGGGCCTGGGGGGCGCGGGGGGCTACGGGCCTGGGCGCGGGGGACTCGGGGCCGGATCGCGGGGCGCGCGGGGGTCCCGGGACCGGGGCGCGGGGGGCTCCGGGCCGGGGCAATGGGGACCTCAGGCTACCCCGTTTCGGCTTCGCTTCCCGCTCGCAGACTCCGGGGCACGTCGCCCCCAGCCCCGCGCATCCCCTCGCGCCCCCCGTTGGCCGCCGCCGCGGACTCATTGGCTGAAAGTGGCCGCGGCCGGTGATTGGCCGTTGGCGCCCAGGCAGGCGGGCCGGGCACGGAGCTGGGCACTGTGGGCAGCGTCCGCGCCCGGCCCTGAGACCCCGAGTGGCCACCTGGGGACTCCGCGCCCCGCCCGGACCTCGGCGGGGGTGCCCGGGCCTGTCCTGCGGGCAGCCGCCTGTGGAGGCCGGGCCCTGCCCCAACGCGCCCGGGTTTTCGCCGAGGCACTTGTCCGGGCGCGTCCCGGGAGCCCAGGCGTGGGCGTGTGTGTTGGAGGTGCTGGGCAGGGCTCCCCGCTGCCCACCTGCCGGTACGAGCTGGGTGCCCCGCGGCCCCTTCCTGCCTGCAAGCTGGAGCTCTCCCAAGCCTGGTTCCCCCCAGGGCCAGGCCCCCGACTGCTCTGCCGGGCGTGACCTCTGGCCGGGACAGGCCAGCCCAGCCGGCTCCTCGCTGCACTGCGCGGGGCTTGGTGAACTCTGATAAATTTGGATTGTTAGGGCGTGTGGCGGGAACCGTTCCCATCCCCGTTCCCGTCCCCGTGCCAGCAGCCAAGGGGTGAGTTCAGCTGCAGGGCCAGGAGGCCCTGACCGGTTATTGGCGCCCTGGAGTGCATCGGATCAGGGCCAGAGCCTGCCTGCGCTGGGCAGGTGCCTGGGGAGAAAGAGCCTCACCCAGGGGCCTGTTGGTGGAGCCCTTGGACTTTACAGCCCATCCAGCAAGAGCTTCCCATGTCAGGCTTTGATTTGGGGCCACACCCAGCAGTGCTCAGGGTCACTCCTGGCTCTGTGCTCAGGAATCACTCCTGGCTCTGTGCTCAGGGCTGACTCCTGGCTCTGTGCTCAGGATCACTCCTGCTCTGTGCTCAGGGCTGACTCCTGGCTCTGTGCTCAGGATCACTCCTGCTCTGTGCTCAGGGATGACTCCTGGCTCTGTGCTCAGGGTGACTCCCGGCCTGTGCTCAGATCACTCTTGGCACTGTGCTCAGGGTTACTCCTGGCTCTGTGCTCAGGGTACTCTTGGCTCTGTGGTGCTCAGGGTCACTCCTGGCCTGTGCTCAGGGTCACTCTTGACTGTGTGCTCAGGGTTACTCCTGGCTCTGTGCTCAGGACTGACTCCTGACTCTGTGCTCAGAGTCACTCCTGACTCTGTGCTCAGGGTCACTCCCAGCCTGTGCTCGGGTCACTCTTGGCTCTGTGCTCAGGGTTACTCCTGGCTCTGTGCTCAGGGTCACTCCTGGCTCTGTGCTCAGGATTGACTCCTGACTCTGTGCTCAGGGCTGACTCCTGACTCTGTGCTCAGAGTCACTCCTGGCTCTGTGCTCAGGGTCACTCCTGGCTCTGTGCTCCAAGTCACTCCTGGATCTGTGCTCCAAGTCACTCCTGGCTCTGTGCTCAGGGTCACTCCTGTCTCTGTGCTCCAAGTCACTCCTGGATCTGTGCTCCAAGTCACTCCTGGCTTTGTGCTCAAGGTCACTCCTGTCTCTGTGCTCAGGGTCACTCCTGTCTCTGTGCTCCAAGTCACTCCTGTCTCTGTGCTCAGGGTCACTCCTGTCTCTGTGCTCCAAGTCACTCCTGTCTCTGTGCTCAGGGTCACTCCTGTCTCTGTGCTCCAAGTCACTCCTGTCTCTGTGCTCAGGGTCACTCCTGTCTTTGCTCCAAGTCACTCCTGGCTCTCTGCTCAGAGTCACTCCTGTCTCTGTGCTCAGAGTCACTCCTGGCTCTGTGCTCAGAGTCACTCCTGGCTCTGTGCTCAGGGTCACTCCTGGCTCTGTGCTTGGGGCAATCCGGGCAGCCCTTGGAGACCAGGTGTGGTGCCGAGCATGGAGCCCTGGTTGGCCATGCATAAGGCTTTTTCTGTCCCCGCACTGTCTCTCTGGCCCAGGCTCCAATTTGGTGCCACACACAGGTCCAGCCATCGGGCACCAGGCAACCCTGGCCCTGGGTCCTGCCCACAGGCCCTCTGAGAGCTCTCCTGGGTGGTGGCCCTCCAGGTTCGCCCCGTCCTTGCTCTGGGCAGGGGCGTGCTCAGCACAGGGAGCTGGGGGCCTTGACGCTGAGGCAGCTTCTGTCCCCTTCCAGCCTGGAGTGGGGAGCCCCTCGGGGTCATAGTTCCATAGTTCCCACTAACCACCAGCCCCTAAGGGATCTGGAGGTGGAGGGTGGGTGGTCTTGTTGGAGTGTCCAGATTGTAGAGGTTAGGCCGTATGTGGCACAACCATATGCAGACCATGTATAAGCCGTGTGTGGACTGTGTGCAGACGTGTAGAGGGTGGATCGTGTCCATTTGCTCTCGGCATGACACGAACCTCCCTCTCTGTCCCAGCCACCCGGGGTTAGGCGTGGCTCAGGAGAACAGCCTAGAACACGCTTTGAGGTCACTGGCCTGAGGACTAATGTCAGGTCTCAGAGGCTAATTATTACCTGAGGCCTCAGGCATGTCCCAGGCTCCCTTACCTCAGTTTCCCTCTCTGGTAACTCATCTTTTCACCCTGCTGCATGGTGGGGCAAAGCGGGGGACAGAGACCCCCACCCACCCACCCATTGTGCATCATGGAGAGAAAACCATGTCATTATTAATGACAGGGACGGGGACGAGTTCTTCACAGGGGTGACCCCTCACAGGGACGGCCCCTCACAGGGACGAATCCTCAGGGATAAGCCCCTCACAGTGGTGACCCCTCATAGGGACCAGCCCTCACAGGGGCGACCCCTCACAGGGATGAGTCCTCACAGGGATGAGCCTTCACAGGGGTGAGCCCCTCACAGGGACGAGTCCTCACAGGGATGAGCCTTCACAGGGGTGAGCCCCTCACAGGGACGGCCCCTCACAGGGACGAGTCCTCACAGGGATGAGCCTTCACAGGGGTGAGCCCCTCACAGGGACAACCCCTCGCAGGAATGGGTCCCTCACAGGGATAAGGCGCCGTGGCCGAGCCCTGGGTTCCCAAACATGTGACTGGTGGTCACATTCCCAGGTGCTCAGGAAAGTTTCAGTGCTTAGGTCAGAGTCTGCACCTACCCCCACGCCCCGTCTCCTGGCCTGTCATAGCTGCCTGTTTCTGGGTGAGCACTAAGCCCGGAGCCTCCGTCTGGGCCTGGCAGACGACTGACCAGCCCCTGGTGTCACTTTCTACATCTGCCTCTGGCTGGTGCTTTCCTGCTGCTGGGCTTCAAGCTAACCACTGCTCACACCGTTCTTCCTGCCTTACCTCCTGGCCTCGCCTTCCCTGCTTGGATTTTTACGTAGATGTTTACATTGAACTGGGCTGGCCGCGTGCGGGTGCCTTAGCCCTGGGCTGGTGTGTCCGGGGTGTTTGGCGAATATTCCATGGCAGCTGAGCCCACCGGTGGCCACAGGGCTGGCCTCTGAGCTCGTGGGCTGTGGTGTCTGAGGGACAGGGCAGAGGCTGGCTGGGCCCAGGTGGGCGCCTTCGTGGAGGAAGAAGGAGGCAGGAGACCCAGACCGTTGTGGCACAAGGGGATAACAGAGAGGCCACAGCTGACCCTGTGCACAGATAGAGCCAGAGCAAGGCTGGGTGTGACCCACATGACCCTGCCCGTCGACCCCTGACCTGCATGAGTGGGGGTCTGGCACTCTGCAGAGATGCCCACTTGACTTAGGTTGGTGGTGCCAGCCCAGCCGGCCCAGGAGGCGCTGTGGTCTGCTGGTATCAGCCCCTCCTCACACACAGGTCCCCTGGCTCCTGCAGGAGATGGTCCCATTGCTTCAGGAGGGGCACTAGGCCTCCGCTGCCCTCTGGGGGGGGGGGGGGTGGGACTCAGCTTATCCAGAGAATAATAATGCTGATAGCAACATCAGTGATGACGGTCTGTGAGTCTAGTCCTGGAGGCAGTTCAGGCAGTGTTATTATTATTATTGTTATAATCGTCATCCCTAACTGCATTATCCTTTGCCTCCTCCCCAGGTGTTCCATGAGTGTGGGGGTCTGTTGGGGATGACCCCTCTGGTGCCCACATGGCACACGTCTGCGCGTTTACTTGGTGGGCGAGGGAGGGCAGGGTGAGCTGACGGGGGCTGGCCCCAGCTCTGACCCTCTGTCCTTCCCTCCTGTCTAGTCCTGTTAAGTCACAGGATATGACTGTGTGGGATGCCAGGTTCACGTCCGGCCCCCAGGCTAACAGCTCGCAGCTGCCAACCTCAGACCCTTCTGAAACTTTCTGCAGGGAAGTAGCAGGAGGGCCCAAGGGT